AGCTATTTTATCATCTTCATTGCGATAAGATGCATTTACTATTAAAGGAAGATGTATTTATCCTTTAAGTAAGACTCCTTTATTAATACAGGAAGATATATTTACTACTAACGGAAGACGTATTTACAACTGCAATGTATTTACTTCCATTTACTGACGGAGGCAATTCATTCATGCCAGCAGCTTTCCGCTTAACCCCTAGACGACGACGGAGGAAAATTTCAACGGGAAGTCATTATTCCCGAAATGAAGTTCATTGTGCGTAACTTGGACACTAAGATACCTGAATGTTCTCACGGTAAAGATCCTGATTTATGTCGTGCAGTCCACTTAAGTGCACGACATTAGCATGCTGAGTTGGCAGAATGTACAGTATTAAAATTTCGCTGTAAGGAGGGAGGCGAAAGAAGGATTTCGGATTTTCAGTTGCATTACTCCCAAGTCGAAAGATATTCTGAATATTAGATTCCATTATGGCAGTTATGCTGTTGTGAGGACTTTTGAAACTAGATAACTCCTTAGCATAAATATCTGGATTAAACGATTGCCATTTATAACTGTTTATTTTACATACGAGTTAGATGCATTCTTCCATTTAATATTCATTATGTAAGACTATGACGATTAATATATCTGCCTGAACATTTACCTAGAGGTCCGTGTTTTAAGATCTTTCAAGGAACGAATAACATCAGTGGCATACGCAGGCCTGTGTCGTCATGCAGAGCCTAAGTTTTGGTGGCAAAAACGAAGACTAAGGAATAAAATAATTTTTGTCTATATGAGAGAAAAAAAATCTTATCTTCTGACGAACACATCGTCAAATTTTCGTGTTGTAGAGATGTATACGAGTTTTATTATTTTCATTATTATTATTTTCTATTACTCTATCTCTTCGTTTGTTCTTTTATTCTAGCCACTGCTATTGTTACCATTACCACTATTGACACAAACATATCTAAGCTACAACTACTATTATTGTTACTGCTACTACTACTACTACCGCAACTACTACTACTACTGCTACTACTACTGCTGCTGCTGCTGCTGCTGTTGCTTCTGCTGCTACTATTACAACTACTTCTACAACTACCACTTATGCTGAACTACTACTACTATTATTGTCATTACCATTATTACTACTACTACTACTACTTATTTTTCTTCTTTTATTACTAATACTTGAAAAAGGTCTCATGACATTACACAATACTCCTCCCTACATTCACTTACTGAACGAGTCTCATGCGAGTTTCGACATCTGCTAGCTCTTAGTCTATTTCACAGAGAGGGGAGGTATTCAATATCTTTAAAGTATTCTTAATGCTTGATGTCTGAGTTCCTCTCAAGCACAAGGAGAGCGGATTAGAGAAGCAAGAAAGACAGAGGACATCTCTATAGCTCTTTCGTTGATATTTTTACTCCGACGTGACTTCATTTAGCCTTGAGTAAGATGGTCTGAGGTTCCATAATTCATCACAAGCTTGAACGACAAATGGAGTAAAAATTCCTTGATTTGTGTATTACTTATATCTTATTTTATTTATTTTTTGGTTTACTACGTCTCCCTTTTTATTTTTTTTCATTTTGCTCATGGGTTGTTGCTGATGCTGATTCCCTATTTTGCGAAGCCACAAGGTGTTGAAGAAAGCACTGTGCCCGCGTGCCCAGAATCCCCGGGTACTGTAGTCAGCTCTTTACCTCATCTTATGTATAAGCCAATCGATAGGTCAGTCTTCTAACATTCCAGTGAAAATAGAATTGGCTTTAATGTCACTCCACGGCCCATTTCTCGCAGCAATTTTTGGCTTTTAAATCTCGTACTTAATCATTCTGAATATAGGAAAAACTATCCTTCTTTCACTTCTTGTACTCTGACGCCAAGACCCATTCCCTGCAACACTGTGGCTATTGCAACTCTTACTTCATCCTTACGAAGACGAAATCTGCATGACTTCCCTGCATGACCAACATCAGAGGAAGATCCGCATGAGACTGGCTTGGTAGATCGGCTTCCCGATGACCCACCTTGCCGAGGGGCTTTAACATTGGTGAAAAAAGCCACTGTTTTGGTTTTCAAGGTTATTAACCAGTTCGGGAATAACGATAATAGTGGTGATAATGACAAGTCCCAAGCCTGGATAAAGGAGGAGGGTTGACGTCAGGAAGGGCATCCGGTCATAAAACACTGCGCCAACCTAATCATGATGCGGACACAGATAGATAACGGATCCGCACCGGCAACCCCGCACAAGGAACAAACCAGTAGAAGAAGAAGAAGAAAAAGTGGTGATAATGATAATGGTGAGGGTGATGATGATGATAATAATGACGATGATGACGATGGTGATGATGATGATAATAATGACGATGATGACGATGGTGATGATGATGATAATAATGACGATGATGACGATGGTGATGATGATGATAATAATGACGATGATGACGATGGTGATGATGATGGTGGTGATGATGATAATGGAGATAATGATTTAGGTGATAATAATGAAGAAGATAATGATGGATATGATGGTAACATAATTATACCCTTTCTAGATATTGTCGTTATTACTATCATTATTACACAATAATCAAGCTAATGACAGTGATAAAAAACATTCTGTAGTAACAATGAGAATCAGTATAATAATGATTCTACTGATGATAGTGATTATCCTCATGTTTGTGAACGTATATGATATATGGAATACGTATTTGTTGGTCGCATGGAATGAGGGAGAGAATAAAGCCACAGCACTGAATAACAGTGTATTTACTAATGGCGGTAAGCTTCCTATTGTTTCTCTAAAGAAATAAAAAGAGACTCTATTGACCCCCGACAGTGTAGCCACACCCAGGAAACACCCACTAAAGCGAAATAAAAGTGGAGTTTGTTGGTAATAGCGTAATAGACCGACCTGAGGGGGAGGCGGGTGCCGTTCGCGTGCAGGCACGTGAGCTCTCTCTCCTGCCGACCCACGCGAGGCACCTGCTCCGCCGTGGCTGCTGGGTCCCCTTTGCTCCTCTCCGCGTCCTTCTGTTGCTGCTCCTCCTCCTCCTGTTCCTCTTGCTCCTCCTCGGCCCTCAGAGCCTCGGGGGGGTACACCTCCAAGATGGCGTTGCTGGGCCCGAGGTCGACTTCGCGGGAGGCCTCGGGCACGGTGGCGTCGGGGTCCCTCGCGAAGTAGAGGGACGAGTCCGGGGCGGCCGAGGGCGAGGGAGCCTGGCCGGGGAGGAGGCTCGTGCAGGCGCCCCACTCCCCGACGCGGAGTCTCACCGAGGACGACCCCTTCTCCTCCTCCTCCTCCCACTGCTCCTGCTCCCGCTCCTGCTCCCTAGCGTCCTCAGGGAGGGAGGCGTCGGGGCTCTGCATGCAGTCGGCGATGCACAGGCGGTACTCGCTGAGGGGCGGGCAGGGGGCGCCGCCGTGGGCCGGGGCCACCACTACGCTGCGGGTGCGGTGCTTGGACGCCTCGCACGTCTCGCAGGGCGACCAGGTACCCCAGGGGCCGACGACGCAGCCCTGAGGGCACAGGGTGGTGCAGGGGGCCACGGTGGCGGGGGCAGGGTCGGGGCACGCGCCGGGAGAGGGCACGACCATGCCGTCCACCTGGCAGCTGACATTCCTGAAGCGGCGTCCGGAGCACAGGCCGTCCGCGTCCACCTGCGTCGGGGCGTCGGCCTGGCACGGCGACCACTGGTCCGCCACCCAGGTGCCGTCTGCGGGGAGAAGGGCGCGGTTAGAGAGCAGAACATATGGTATAAACACACACACAGACATACATACATACATAAATACATATATATATATATATATATATATATATATATATATATATATATATATATATATATATATATATATATATGAATACATATATAGCCTACACCATGGCAAAAAGTAAAAAAAAAGAGAAGAAAAGGCGACGAGTAAAAAAAAAAGAGAAAAAAAGGCGACGAAACAAATGGCCGTGACTCTATGCGATACAAAAAGCTTTCGCACGGCTTGTAGCGATAGGAACAACGAGAGGTTTTTTTTCCCTCCTCTCTCTCTTTTTTTTAAATTTCTTTCTTTTATTCCAAATCCTCTATCACATTGAGCCAAAGAGATTGTAAAATGCTGAAATGTTTTCGTTTTTTAATTTTTTTATTTGAATTGCATTGGGAGTGTTGCAGATCAGATTATGCATTGCAAGGTAAGGGAGAAAAAAAACTTACATCAGTTTTAATTGTTTTTTTTTTTCTTTTTTCTTTGTACTATGTAAGTTCGTTTGCACATAATACTCTCCGGATTATAAACTCCAATCGATATATAAGGAGGAAGTCTTTTTTTTCTCCTCCCCCCCCAATAGAATTCCAATTTCGAAACCATCAGCGCGACTTTGAACCGGCCGGCGACGCTCAAAGAAAAGAGATCGAGTTGCAACGCGCGTATTAGACGTAGGGATAAACTTTATTCATCATCTGATGGGATTTTCGACCATGTAATCATTTCGGTCAAACGGATTACATGTTTTCCAATATCCAATCAACGTTCCTAATCTGCGATGGAATGGCGCATATTCGCCAAGATTTAATACACTGATTCAATTAGGCTTAACTGTACCTTTAATCTGATGGAATCCTTCACTCATTAAACTCAACGACTCCGGACCCGCTTCCCGCATGCGCCCGCCGCCGCCGCTACCGCCGCCGTCACCGTCACCGCTACCGCCGCCGCCGCTACCGCTATCGTCACCGCCGCCGCCACCGTCACCGCTACCGCTCCCACGTCTCTGCCGCCAGTGCCTAGCTCTTCTTATCAAAGCCACTGTACTTTCGTAATTCAATAACAGAAGTTCTTCTCTGCCCTTTATGACGCGTCCTTAACCTCGGTACTCTTGCTAATGAAGGTAGACATAGCATTCTTTTCCCTCTGTGGCAATGGCCATACAGGTCAAATTGCCTTTTCCCTCTATTCCTAGGAACGGATAACTTTGATACGGATATATTTGGTTCTCTTTGGCAAGCCGGTCGATCGTTTCTCTCCCTCTTTTTTCCCGTGTCTGTCATTCTGTCTTTTTCTCTGAATGTCTGTCTTTCTGTCTGTCTGGCTATCTGTCTGTTCGTCTCTCTCTCTCTCTCTCACTATCACTCTCTTTTTCTATGTGTATACATGCATGTAAGTCCGTCTTCCTGACGTGTAGACATGTCGGAAGCCAGCCTCGACCTTCCCCCCCCCCCCTCTGTGCCCTGTAGGATACCCCTTAGCGAAGTCACCCCCTCCCCCACTCCCTCTTCCCCCTCAACCCGTTGACCTTCTCTGCAGAGCCGCTAGTCGTGAGCCCTTCTACCGGTCATACGGAAAGGTTTTAAAAAAATGCGGTTGAATATTTGTTTACTTCATTTTTTTCTTTATTTTATTATTTTTTTTTCAGGGTCGGTGCGCTGTACTATATGGAGCGGAGGACGCCGGTTCCCTCGGGTGAACTGCGTAGCCAGATATCTTTTTTATCCATTTTTTTTTCTCTCTACTTTCCAGAACACAATTTTCTCGCTTGATTAAATCTACGTCAACTTGCTAGGTATTTTTTTTTTTTTTTGTATAATGTTGGAATTTAGATATTTTTTTTTTTTCCCAATAATGTCTAGTATTTGGTGTAATAAAAGTAATAAAAGTTACAGTAAGATGAATAGTTAGTTTTAGGATTAATGTATAATTAATAATTATAACTTCAGATCGATTTATATGATAACACAAGTATATAATTAATTAGCTCTATCCTTTTGAATATTAACTCACACGAGATTCTTCTCTTTATGGAAGTGATATAGATAACTTTTAAATCGACTCATCTTATCAACCAAATCACTTTGAACCCCATTAAGAAAAATAAAAAAACTCATGAAATATATAAAAAAAACAAGAAAATAATGATGATTCCTGGCCTAAATATCGGAATGAAAAAGCGAATCATGTGTGGTTTGGCTCATGTCACGGCTCGGGGTGGGGAAGGGGGGGGGGCTTGCGGCTAGGAGGGGAGGAGTTTTTGGAGGGGGAGGGGCTTGGGGCTAGGAGGGGAGGAGTCTGGGGTGGGGAGGGAGGAGTTTTGGGAGGGGGAGGGGCTAGGGGCTAGAAGGGGAGGAGTCTGGGATGGGGAGGGAGGAGTTTTGGGAGGGGGAGGGGCTAGGGGCTAGGAGGGGAGGAGTCTGGGGAGGGAGGAGTTTTGGGAGGGGGAGGGGCTTGGGGAGTGGGAGGAGGGGAATTTGGGAGTGAGAGGGGAGAGCTTGGGAGGTTGACGAAAATGGAGTGGAAGGAGATTGGGGGTGAGAGGAAGAATCTAGGGGGGGTAGGAGGGGAGGGGCCTAGGGAATGAGAAGGGAGGAGTTTAGGAGGTGGAAAAGGGAGGACTTAGGGAATGGGAGAAGGGGAGTTTGGGAGATGAGAGGGAGGAGCTTGAGAGGTGGAAAGAAGAGGGATTTAGGGAATGGAAGGAAGAAGAGAGTCCTGATGCTGGCTTGGGGGGGGGGGGGAGCTTAAGGATGGGAAGGACGGCCCAAGGATGTGCGTGCTGGTGAGGGCCTGGAAAGGGATTATAAATAGGATTAGGTGACGCAGGCAGATAGGATTATCCTGAGATAAAAATAAACAGAGATGGAGAAACGGATAGAAATGTGTGTGTGTTCACGAATAACTGACCAGACAGCAGATGAGTAAGAATGAGACAGAGAGAGAGACAGAGAGAAGAGAAGAGAGAGAGAGAGAGGGATATATATATATATATATATATATATATATATATATATATATATATATATATATATAGAGAGAGAGAGAGAGAGAGAGAGAGAGAGAGAGAGAGAGAGAGATTGAGTGAATGAGTGAGTGAGAGATAGATAAATAGATAGAGAGAGAGAGTGAGAGAGAGTGAGTGAGAAAGAGAGAGAGAGAGAGAGACAGACAGATACAGAAAGTGAGTGAGTGAGTGAATGGGTGAGAGCGAGAGAGAGAAAGACCGAGCGAGCGAGAGAGAGAGAGAGAGAGAGAGAGAACAGAGAGAGAGAGAACAGAGAGAGAGAGAAAGAGAGAGAGCAGAGAGAGAGAGAGAGAGAGAGAGAGAGAGAGAGAGAGAGAGAGAGAGAGAGAGACAGAGAGAGAGAGAGAGAGAGAGAGACAGAGAGATGTAGATAGACAGATATATAACGAAAGACAGAGATACAGATTAGCACAAAGAAAAGGAAGACATAAAGTAGAAGAGCAGGAAAGAGAGACGAGGAAAAAGAGATTTCCGAGGCAGACCGAAAACAGAGAGGAAGACAAAGGAATTTCGCTCCAGTGGTTTCGTAATATACTGAGAAAGACAATGGAGTTACGTAGGAAGACAGCTGATTAGTTATTTTTTTCCCTTGGCATAACATAATTACTTTGATTATGATCAATAAAACAAAACAAAATAAAAAATATCCCTCCCCCCCAAAAAAAAAAAAAAAAAAATATTCCGTTTGTGAAGAATCAGAAGATGATGAAGAAGAAGAAGAAGAAGAAAGGAAGATGATGGCGAAGAAGAATAAACAGCAAAAGAAGAAGAATAAATAGCAGAAGAAGAAGAAGAAGAAACTTAAGAAGGAGAAGACGATGATAATGAAGAAGAAGAGGAAGTAGAAAGAAGAAGAAAGAGGAAGCAGAAAATGGAGAAGAAGAAATACTTATCCCAACATTCTCTCCCCACTCTGAACGAGACCTGCGACTCGACATAGAGACGCTCATCTCTTTACTAAGTATTTCAAATTCGACCTTACTACATATCTTTTACATTCTCTTTCTCTTTTTTCATTTCTTTCTCTCTCTTACTATTTTCATCTGCTCCTCTTTCTCTCTCTTTTTCATTCTTCGATATTTTCCTTATTGATATCTCACAATCTTTGCCATCCATGTTAGTAAGATAGCATTCCACATTTATCTTTAAGAAAACGATAATGATAATAATAAAAAAACAATAAATCAAAGCATGGGATTCTCTAATAAACACTGGATATTAAGTCCAACTAAATATCCTGTATTCTGTCAGTTTCAATTTGACTTCCGTGTAATGCTCGTTAAGATCCGCACGAACATTTACCTGTAATTAATTTCGACACTAACAGAGATTGCAAGCTTAGCGATGATAACTTTAGTAATACTGAATAATGCATAAAGTTCAAAGTTCAGTGTCAGTAAAAAATATATATATCAAAACGAACAAACAAGAAACAGCAATAACAACAACAAAACAATTATCATGTAGTGTAAATGAATTAATAGATGAAGGAAAGAAGGAAGGAAGGGAAGGAATGAAGGGGGGAAGGGAAGGAAGAAAGGGAGAAGGGAAAGAAGGAAGGAAGGAAAGACGGAAAGAATGAGTGAATGATGGAAGGAAGGAAGGAGGATGGGAAAGAGGGAGGGAAGGAAGGAAAGACGGAAGGAAGGAAGGGAAAAAGGAATGAATGGGGGAGGCAAGGAAGGAGGGGAGAGAGGAAGGAAGGAAGGAAGGAAGGAAGGAAGGGAAAAAGGAATGAATGAATGAAGGAAGGAAGGAAGGAAGAAGGGAAGGAAGGAAGGAAGGAAAGACGGAAAGAATGAGTGAATGGTGGAAGGAAGGAAGGAGGATGGGAAAGAGGGAGGGAAGGAAGGAAAGGCGGAGATAATGAAGGGAGGGAGGAAGGAAAGCCGGAAGGAAGGAAGGAAATATGGAAGGAAGGAAGGAGGAAGGAAGGGAAAAAGGAAGGAAGGGAGAAGGGAAGGAAGGAAGGAAGGGAGACGGGAAGGAGGAAAGGAAGGAAAGACGGAAAGAATGAGTGAATGAAGGAAGGAAGGAAGGAGGATTGGAAAGAGGGAGGGAAGAAGGAAGGAAGGAAGGAAGGGAAAAAGGAATGAATGAATGAAGGAAGGAGGATGGGAAAGAGGGAGGGAAGAAGGAAGGAAGGAAAGACGGAAAGAATGAGTGAATGATGGAAGGAAGGAAGGAGGATGGGAAAGAGGGAGGGAAGGAAGGAAGGAAGGAAAGACGGAGATAATGAAGGGAGGGAGGAAGGAAAGCCGGAAGGAAGAAAGGAAGGGAAAAAGGAATGAAGGGGGAAAGGGAAGGAAGAAAGGGAGAAGGGAAGGAAGGAAGGAAGGAAAGACGAAAAGAATGAGGGAATGAATGAATGAAGGAAGGAGGATGGGAAAGAGGGAGGGAAGGAAGGAAAGGCGGAGATAATGAAGGAAGGAGGGAAGGAAATATGGAAGGAAGGAAGGAAATATGGAAGGAACGAAGGAAGGAAGGGAAAAAGGAAGGAAGGGAGAAGGGAAGGAAGGAAGGGAGACGGGAAGGAGGAAAGGAAGGAAAGACGGAAAGAATGAGTGAATTAAGGAAGGAAGGAAGGAGGATTGGAAAGAGGGAGGGAAGAAGGAAGGAAAAACGGAGAGAATGAATGAATGAATGAAGGAAATATTGAAGGAAGGAAGGAAGGAAGGAAGGAAGGAAGGAAGGAAGGAAGGATGCAAGGACGAAAGGGGGACAGAAGAAACAGCTAATGATGGAAGAGTTAAAGCGCCCTGATTATAAACGGCGGTGAGAGGATGTTCATTCGTTCATCATTCTCTGTATTTTCTTATTTGATTTATTTTAGTACTACTGCTACTGTTAGCTTTATTACTGTTAATATTAGTGACACTACTGTTTATGATGATAATATAACTAATGCTATTGTTGTTACTACTATTTATGCTGCTACCAAAAGCATTGCTATGCTGCTACTACCACTACTACTACTACTTCTACTAACACTGCAGCTACTGCTACTACTACCACTCATACCATTATTACTACTGTTAATACTGCTACTGCTTCTTCCTTTTCTTCTTCTTCTTCCTCCTCTTCCTCCTCCTCCTCCAACTTACTTTCCCGCTTTCTTCTCCTCCTCCTCCTCCTCTTCTTCTTCTTCTTCTTCTTCTTCTTCTTCTTCTTCTTCTTCTTCTTCTTCTTCTTCTTCTTCT